TTGTATACACTGCTGATGGGTCTGAAACGAACAAAATTTCCAGAGGATAATTTATTTATTTTATCTTATTTTTTTTTTTTTTTGAGAGAGAGAGAGAGAGAGAGAGAGAGTGCTTGTGAGGTGGGGAATGGTGGGGGGAGAAGGACAGGAGAGAGAAAGAATCCCAAGCAGGCATCAGTCCCAATGCAGAGCTAGACAGGGGGCTGATCCCATGACCTTGAGATTGTGACCTGAGCTGAAATCAAGAGTGGAATGCCTAACGGACTGAGCCCCGCCCCAGACACCTCTGGAGGACACATTTATAATATTCAGAAATAAAATCCATTATTTTTACTTTTGTAGCTGAGGTTTTTTTTTCCCCCTAGCTGGAAACTTCATAGTTCTTCTCTTTTATCTTTGGTGGAGCAAAGTTTCATAAAGATGCATTTAGGTGAAAGTTATTTTTATTATCAACTCAACATTTACTGAGCCATTTCCACTTTTTGTTTTGTTTCAGCTTCAGGGAAATAGTTCTTCTTTTATTTCTTTGATTTTTCCCCACTGTCTTCAGTTTTCCTGATTTTTTCTTTCTCTAGTTATTATTAGATAGATATTGGTCCTCCTGTATGGATCTGTTATATTGTTTAAGTTTTCTCTCATGTCTTCTTTTGTCCTTTGCTTTATGGATATTCTTGTTTCCTCTTAAATTTTTTTTTCTTTTTTTTTTTTTTTAAATTTTTATTTATTTATGATAGTCACAGAGAGAGAGAGAGAGAGAGAGGCAGAGACACAAGCAGAGGGAGAAGCAGGCTCCATGCACCGGGAGCCCAACGTGGGATTTGATCCCGGGTCTCCAGGATCGTGCCCTGGGCCAAAGGCAGGCGCCAAACCGCTGCGCCACCCAGGGATCCCAAATTTTTTTTTTCTTAAGTAATCTCTATGTTCAATGTGGGACTCAAACCCACCACCCTGAGATTAGGAGTTGCATGCTCCACCCACTGAACCAACCAGGCTCCCCTGCCCTTTGCTCTATATTCTGAGAAATTTTAAAAATGTTTTTTGTTTTTTTTCTTTTGGTATATTTTCACCAAAATTTATATTTAAATATTTAAAATTTTCATGAACTCCAGTTCCTTTTCATATCAACCTATTCTTGCTTTGTGGATATGATATCTTCGTATAATTAAGGTTGACCAGCAAGGATAATAATTAGAATATTTAAAAAGTTCTCTTTTCCATAATTGTCTGTTTCTGAAACTGAATGTTTTTCTGTTTTCATGTTGGCCACTCATTTTGGTGTTGCTGATTTCCCTCAAATATCTGGAAATCTCTGATCTTCCATTCTTATTCACAATTGAGGTCTATGTTAATTAATTTGAGTAGCTGCCATATTTCTTCTTTACTTGGCTATTATAAATAATAAATGCACAGTAAAAATGTAATTTTAAAAACAGTGTTATCTTATTAGAAATGGACTCACTTTAATAAAATATTTTAATTTTTCTGTAAAATATGCTGGTAATACTGACTATTGATAGGACTTAGAGATTTATCTATGTAGAAAATCTATAACATTTGGTTGATCCTACTTAAAGTTGTCTCATTAACGAAATGTCTTGGGATGCCTGGGTGGCTCAGCAGTTGAGTATCTGCCTTCGGCTCAGGGCTTGATCCTGGAGTCCCATGTCGGGCTCCCTGCATGAAGCCTGCTTCTCCCTCTGCCTGTGTCTCTGCTTCTCTCTCTGTGTCTCTCATGAATAAATAAATATGTCTTTAAAAAATACATCTTATCAATGTATACTTTGAAGTTTTATCTAAGAATTTTTGAATTAAAATCTCTTCATAAATATTTAGTTGAAAATGTTTTAGGGGAACTGAATAATATTTTTAAATATCAACACATTATTTTACACATAAGGAAAACACATTGTATCATAGATAGCTATAATTTGGGACCATGCTGTATTGATGCCTGATATGGGCAGAGATGTTTTTATTTATTTTTTATTTTTTAAGATTTTATATATATATTTTAAGATTTTATATTTTTAAAGTAATATCTACACCCAATGTGAGACTTGAACTTACAACCCTGAGATCAAGAGTTGCATGCTCCTCCACCAACTGAACCAGCCAGGCGCCCCTGGGCAGATGTTTTTAAGAAGATAAAGTATATGAAATTGGTATGGACATTATTAAGATAGTTGCATTTCTTAACTAAAATTATTTACAAAATAGACATATTATGGGAAAGTCATGTGTTGTTGGCAAAAGAGATTTTTTTTTTTTTTTTTTAGAAAAACTCCTAGGCTGATTGACTACATCAACGTGTTGAAAAATTTTCATTCAAAAGATGCTAAGATCTTTTTCCATGATCTCACATTGCTACCCATTCATTTTTCACACATGGAGCCTTGTTCCTGCTGGGGCTCACAGTGAAGTTGTAGGCTACGTTGATCTCCTCACAGTGAAGCCATTACACTTCTTTCATTCTTCTACACATTTGCTCCATGCATGCTTAAAATCTGGAAAAAACATACTCATGGGGCTGGAGAAACAAAGAAGCAGCAATTTCCTTGCCTTATTCCTTGTCCAGTGATGAAGTAGAGAATATGATGTGGTGATTGGAGCCAGACCTAACCCTGGCCATAGGCATTGTAGCCGACCCAAACCTAATTAAGAAAGATCCTGAATAAACTTGGGTGACAGCCAAAATCACTAGGCTCCTCAATCAATATTTTTGATATAAAAATTAGCATCTGGGCTAAGTAAAAAGGAGCACTGTTTCATGCCACAGCAAAAGGAAAGAAAGAAAAATAAATAAGAAAGAAAGAAGAAGAAAAAAGAAAGAAAGAAAGAAAGAAAGAAAGAGAAAGAAGAAAGAAAGAAAGAAAGAAGAAAGAAAGAAAGAAAGAAAGAAGAAAGAAAGAAAGAAAGAAAGAAAGAAAGAAAGAAAGAAAGAAATCTCTTCTTGCTTCTACTCTGACCTCCTTATGTTGAATACATTACTGATTTGTATCTGTGATAATTTTCCGACCAGTTGACTTAGAAATGTCAAGTTCTGTCCTCAGCTCTGTCACAGGCATCAGGCTTTTCTAAATGGGTAAGCTGGTCTCACTTGTTCTCTTATTCCTGCTCGAGTTACTCTGCTGATATATAAAGTTTAGCTGAAATAACTTTGTAAGAAATTTGACTGGAAAAGGAATACAGCATTCTCAGAAAAGTAAAGCTGACCCTGTTAGAGCTTTAGAAGTGCTCTTTACATACTGTGCATCCCCTGACAACTTCAACACACTGATCTTCCAAGATGAGTCCACTTTTAATATCTATGAAAATGTCCAGAGGATAATGTATATTGGAGTTCTTTGTAGAGTGTCTGACACATGATAAGTGTCCAAAAAAAAATGATTGACTTGCTATCTTTCAAGACACTACATACCTGCTTTAGAAATAATTCCTAGTCTTGATTCTGGAAATTGGCATGCAGGATATGAGATAGAGAAAGAAAACATTAATATTTGACTCATGGTCATGCTTTTGTTATCCTATAGACTACTTTTTAAAAAGATTTTATTTATTTATTCATGAGAGGGAGAGAGAGAGAGAGAGAGAGAGAGAGAGGCAGAGGGAGAAGCAGGCTCCATGCCAGGAGCCCGATGTGGGACTCCATCCTGGGTATCCAGGATCACGCCCTGGGCTGAAGGCAGTGCTAAACCGCTGAGCTACCCGGGCTACCCTACAGACCACTTTTAATGAGATTGAGACAAATTAAGGGATAGGTGAAGATCTCTCTATCTTTTAGAGAGATTCAGTGAAATATTCCCTAATGAAATCATATGATTTCTGGGGCTTGCTTCAAAGTAATCTGTAAGTGGGGAACTAGATTAAAAAGATTAGCCATGAATTGATAATGTTTGAAGCTAGGTGATATAATGGATTTATTCTACTATTCTCTCTCTCTCTCATTCTATATTTACAATTTTCCATTTTAAACTGTTTTAAAAGGGGCTGAATTAGAAATAGTTATTTTTAAGTGGATGGACTGCTGTCAGCTCAAAGCCAAGTTCTTCCCCCCGAAGTGCCTTTGGCTGAATGGAATTGTCTTGGCCAAGGTAATGCCCTCTCCCACACCTCTACCTTGGCAACTTGTATCTCATGTAGTTGATGTAGTATATCTTGTAGTTGATGGCAGAAAGGGCATAGAAGCCTGACTCCCTTGCTTCACTTTGAGATAATTCTGAATGGCCATCTCTGATGCATAGCTCCCCAGGGGAGTGACTAAGGCCTTTTATGATAAAATCATAGTTAGGCTTCTCCCTTTTCCAATCCTGTCTCCGTGCTCTATCCTACATATTGTTCCATTGTATGTGGTCCCAGTGGTATGCTGGTAAAGGTTTAACAGATGGCTCTCCAGATCCTGAATTTGTAGTGTTTGCTGATTCCATGATGTAAATACTCTCCCTACATAATTTCAAGCTACCAAGATAATTTCTGATGTCGCAGAAGGAGGAGTAGGGAACAGATGAGCACAATTGGTTCTTATGACATAGTTCAAGCCAGCGCCAGCCACCCTTGCCCATTTTCTCTTATGAAATTCTTTTTTTAAAAAGATTTTATTTATTTATTCATTATAGACACAGAAAGAGAGAGAGGCAGAGACACAGGCAGAGGGAGAAGCAAGCTCCATGCAGGGAGCCCGACGTGGGACTCGATCTCGAGTCTCCAGGATCACGCCCCAGGCTGAAGGCATTGCCAAACCGCTGAGCCACTGGGGCTCCCCCCCTAATGAAATTCTTAAATGCAAATCTCTGAGTCTCTATTTAGGGTAATCCAAACACAGAACCATCAGTTATTTTTTATTATTGTCTATTTTGGTGATTTGTCCATTAAAGAAACTAATATTTCATAGGCAGAATGAAATGAAATTGGTCACTAAATGTTTCATGGAAACACACACACACACACACACACACACTCATAATACTATAAGACAATGTCCCACAATAATTGCTTAGAAGCAATTAAAATACAGACGCCTTTTAATTTCCAAAAATTACACAGCTGCATAGGGTGTTCTGAGAAAACAGACTTCAAATATGTTGTCCATACAGAGATCAGGAAAAATAGCCAAGAAATTACCAGGTAAGTTCAAAATATAGTTGTTATTATTGCCATAAATTCAAGTACATGACAGAGAGTTAAGTTTTCCTCATTGAAAATTGTAAGTCAGAGTAAGCCATTTATAATACTGGTTATCTCTGAAGAAAATATAGAGGAACATTGCATGTGTGAAGAATTGTTAACTTTTACCCTATTTGAGAGCTTTTGTTGGAGTAAATAAATAATCAGAGGCAGATTATTCTTAATATCCAACTTTGTAGAAAGAGAAGGTACCTGGATAATGGGAACAAAATGTCCCATTGAGAAGAGATGGGAATAATTCACTTAACTTCAGTAGTATAAACACCTTGTCAACAGAGAATCAGGACAAAGTTTGTTATGTTAGTAGGGACAACTGATCTATGCAAACAAAAGCTCCAACAATGGTTCTCAAATTATGACATGGGTTAGAAGCTCCTGAGGAGGCTGGCTGAATATAAGTTCCTGGGCACCACTACAGCTATTCTGATTATGTGGAAGTCTGGTGGGGGGCCCAGCGATCTGCATTTTAATAAGCTTCCTAATGAATTCTGAAGCCCATGGTGTCTGTCAAACCAAAACATGCTGAAAGGCAGTGTAGCCAAACATCTACAATAACACAGTTCCACAATAAGATTAGGAATGTGTTTATGCCATTTCCCTGTTAAGCAAGTGTATCTCGCCTACAAATATCCCCCCTACGAATACCACTTTTAGAACACCTTCCATCTATTTATCAACCAGATTCTCACCAGAGCCAGATTCTCACCTCTGTACCTTTATACTCTTGCTTGCTCTGTAAAGGAAGGGAAAAGTGTGTGCGCATGCGCACACACATGCATTTGGGATGTTTGGGGTACATAACAGAGCTTGGTTAGAAAATTCTCGTTCTTAACCGAACCGGCCAAAGGGACATTTTGGCTGTAGTATAGTTCTTGAGACTCAATAATCCCTACTGATTTGAAATTGTGGTTTTATTAACCTAGCAGATGTTTTCTTATAAAAATTAAAAATTCTCATAATTACCTTCTTAACCAACCACATTCTACATATGACATATACTCTTATATTACCATCCCTGTGGGATCTGGGCCTTCCTAATGTTCTCAGGAAACATTGTATTTGATTTATAGTTGTTCTCATAAGTGTATTCAGTGTAAACCCTCTGACAGAGGTAGTTTTTTTTTTTCTTTTGTACCTGGGAATGTAATAAATTGTCCCAGGACTCTGGGATCTTGATGAAGCAGGAGTAATGTCCCCCTTGCTCCCTAGGCCATGTAGATAAATAATTATTTTCTTATCATGAGTCAGACTCAAGATCCTCCATAAAAGTCATGTGATAGATGAAAATTCCTGCTTACAAAGACACCCCTCTAAAGGCTTAAAACTCAAAGGGTGGGTGTGAAGGGGTGTGTATGAAGATGATGGACATCTAGAATGGAAGGGGATGTTTATTGCTTGCTGTACCTCAGTAAAGCTCAGATGTTTCACTGCCCTCTTTGTCTACTGTTCCTTTTATAGAACTGAAGACATTTACACATTTTGGACAATTGACTAGAATTAATTTCATTTAAATGCACATTTTCAAGAGGAAAACTTTTTTGGGGGACACGTATACCACGTATATTTTCTTTGCATCGGTAATGGTGCACCAAATCATTGGGGAGAGTTGGAATTTAGTTATCACAACTAGTGACTGGATGGGGCAACTGCATTGTCAGAATTCACTTCCTCTCCTCTTCTGCTGATAGTGATGCTTACAAATGTTTGTGAGAAACTTCATCATTGTGATCCACTTTTTTTTTATATTTACTTATGATAGGCACACAGTGAGAGAGAGAGAGAGAGAGAGAGAGAGGCAGAGACACAGGCAGAGGAGAAGCAGGCTCCATGCACTGGGAGCCCGACGTGGGATTTGATCCCGGGTCTCCAGGATCGCGCTCTGGGCCAAAGGCAGGCGCCAAACCGCTGCGCCACCCAGGGATCCCCGTGATCCACTTTTAAGCTGATATACCTGGTAGGGGTTATACTTTCCCCATAAAAAGCTTTCCACATTGATCACTTTTATCCTTTAATCAGTCATGAGCACCAGGGCATATTGCTCTCTTCAACACTGGTGTTCTGGCCTGGGTTTCTATCTCAGTACACAGCATGAGAGCTTGGGTCCATCTGTGTCATGAGTCAAACCTCTCTTGAAGTGATTTGTTTATACTGTCATTTGATGGAGTGGAATGTTCTGTAACTCATTCGAACTATTACAGAAGCTTTGCTAAAAGGTCACCACTGCTCTTTAGAGTTTCCAAATCTGGGAACCATCTGGGAGCTTGTTAAAGATAAGGTTTTCCACTGGCTTTTTCCATATCAACTAGATCCAATTAGCAAAGAGGTACTATTCCATTTAAGTTTGTGTTCACATTTAGAAAGAGAGAGAGAGAGCAGAGGCAGAAAGATAGAGACAACTCAAGTAAATTACAGTTCGTTGCCCAATAGTGTACAAGCCCACTTTACACCAGAGTTGGATCACATGTGCCAGCAGACAGTGAGAACTATTTAATAGGCTTGAACAGGGGTGTCAGTCTTGAAAAAGTTGAATAGAATTTGCTTTTTAATGTCGGTTTTGAATCAATACATTCAAGTATAGTCTGGAGAGTCAACTCTAAAGGAAATTGAATCTCACCATTTACTAAAAATTTAATAGGAAAATGACAAGTCATTCCTTAGAGAAATAAGGGTTATGTATGCAAGTGAAACATTCACTCCACATGGCACCAAAACCTTCCAGTTGTAACATTACGGTTTTACTCTAGGCCTAAAATTGGCTTGTGTTTGCTTTCTGCCCCTTTCCTTATGAAACAAAAGTCTTGAATTTTCCAAACCTCAAGAGCTCAGCTGTAAAACTGTAGGATACCAGCAAGAGGAAAAGGAAAGTTTCCTTCAAAGATATCTCTAGTCCCTGCTGGTCAGTCCTACTCTCTCTCTCCAAACATTAACTAAGGCTTTGACACTCAGCCTTGGATAAAGTCCAAATGCGGCAAATGGTAGAGGCAACATTTCTTTACCCTCCTGCCTGGAGCTCCCAGTGATATGGATGAGTTGTAGCTGGGGCACATATGGGGAAACAAGGAGGTCGGCTACTGCCCATGACCCTTGCTCACATCTGCAGGTGAAATAAGTAAAAATATAGTGAGATTTACTGAATTAAAAACCCAAACCCTCTCATTTGGTTGGAACGCCTGAAAGAGTCTGGACCAAAGAGTCTGCACAGTAGCAGCTAAAGCATGGGCTCGCTGCCATTAAAAATGTTCTAGGAAGTGTGTGTGTGTGTGTGTGTGTATTTGTAGTAGGATACTTGGGAGAGGAGAAAGTTAAAACCTGGAACCATATTTTTGTCTCTGCACTCCCGAGTTGGAGACATTAAAAACACAACATTTTCTTCAGTTCAATTAAGCTGGTGTGGAAACCAAAATTGTGCATAGAAAGGGGGGGAGAAATCCATTTATATTTCTTTTGAGGCATGGGGGGGGTGTCTTTCTGGCAAAGTCTTTAGGTGCAACTCAGGACCAGGAAACTTAATCGTCCAGTTCAAAGCTTGTCTCATCGTACAGTTCAGGGCGTGCTGACTTCCTGTGCCGGGAATACTTCAGTTGCAGGAGATCACCCATTTCATCCAGGTTTTCCAAAACCTGCAAAGAGATTGCCTTCCATCAGTTATTTTTTAAACCCCTAAATGGCTCTGCGATCCAGAACCTCACTGAGATTCAATCTTCTTTTGCCAACTTCCTTGATTTTAAAGAAAAGGAGAAAGATCCAAATCATTAAGGTATGGAATGATACCAGACCTTATAAACCAGCCCTAGAGGAATGTTAGAGGCTAACTCATTTTACCCCACATTATGAATATTTAATTTATTTTGGAGGGTGTGAGGAGAGGGATAAAACCATCCATGCTTACCCTTTCAGACTTTATTTTAAAGTTTAATGACATGTATAACTTTGTGGAAGAAAGAGGTAAGGCTGCAGATTACATTTGGGTTTATGTCCTCATGACACAGCAAATCAACCTGGCCAGGAGCAAAAGGGAACATTGTGGGAGCTGATTAATATCGTTCCCTCTCTCCCATATTTCCTCATCCTCAGCTTTAAATACTCATCTGTATGTTCCGTGGAATCGTAGGACTTAAAACCGAAGGGGACCGAAAGCTCATCTGTTTCAGTTCTCTCAATTCAGGCAGATAAATGTATCCCCAATTTTCCAAAGAAAATTCTGGGTCCAAGACTGAGACCCAGAATAGGCAAAATGTACTTTTCATATCTAGTATATCACTAATCTTACGGTACTGGGCATGCCTTTTTAATATTTTTAGGCCTGTCTTGACCTGTCAAACAAGGAGGGCAATATTAGGATCTAATGCTTTGAAAAAGGTGAAGATGTTTTTTTTAACACTGGAATAAATGACAAGTGGAGCTTACGGGCTCTCCTCTTTGGGTAGTCTTTCAAACTGGCAACAAGTTAGATATCCACCAACATAGGAAGAGTCATTGATTTCTGTTTGGTAGCATTATGGATAGTTAAAACATTCTTTTTACTTCAATGTACTTCCTAAATTTTCACATCAAGTCTAAGGACTAGGACAAAGCGACAAAAGTTATATTTAAAATGATGTCAAACTAGGATAGTGTCTATTGCTCTTTGCTGAAGGTGGGGATGGAATAGCTCTGAGTGGGCATCTGCATACTTGGGGGATATGAGAGACAATTGACGGAAGGTGTGGAAGAAGAATAGAGGATTTCTATTTATTGTAATCTCAATCTTTTTAACTTCCATTTTTGAGTCTGCTATAAAATGTACATAATATATTGGCAATGCATATATAACTTATAAATGGATTTATGTTGAAGCCCACTGATCAGACTACGCAGAGCACACCTGTACTCAAACAAAGGTAGGTTTATTTTACTTGTGGCAGCTGGAAGCATGTATTAGAGAAGAACCATCTTAGTAAGAGGGAGTTGGGAAAGGCTTCTTACCACATTTGGACTTGTGCTCAGGATGACTCTAAGGAAGCAGGGACCAGTCTGGGTTGATGCTGTCTTGAACAAGTGAAGTTCAGTGATTAGCTATATACAGAATTCTTTTGTATATACATGTAGAATTCTTATGTGGAAGATGGGATGACTATAGTGAGGTCATTCGTAAAGGTGTAGTCATCACTCGTGTTAGAAGAAGGAAATTCTAAGCTACTTCGTATTTGTAGAGTTGCCTCATCTCTGCCTTGTACCAAATGTGGTCATAGAAGGGACTTGTCTAACATGTATTTCCTATGAGTGTTATGTTCAGTTATCTACCTCTATGTGCTCACTGTTCAAGGGTCATTTTTCACTCTCTTATGTGTAGATTAAGGAGTTTGCCCATAGTTTTTTTTTTTTATTTATATAAGTGACTGATTTCAAAAGTTTAGAGGCATCTGTTGAGATGATGTCCCAGTGCTCCTTCTAAACTAAGTATTCCGGGATCCCTGGGTGGCGCAGCGGTTTGGCGCCTGCCTTTGGCCCAGGGCATGATCCTGGAGACCCGGGATCGAATCCCACGTCGGGCTCCCTGCATGGAGCCTGCTTCTCCCTCTGCCTGTGTCTCTGCCTCTCTCTCTCTGTCTCTCTCTCTGTGTGACTGTCATGAATAAATAAAAAAAATAAAAAAAAATAAAAAAATAATAAACAAGGTATTCCATAGGAGTTAAGAACTTGCGAAGAGAACCATGAGGTCTGATGTCTCCAGAATTGGGTATTCATGAATATCTCAGTGCTGTTGGGGGTTACAAAAAATACAAATCTCCCACTGCTGCCCATCCCCCCCCCATCACCTCTGGGAGCATGCTCCCTGGTCGTGTCCTTTCCTCTCCCATTTTCCTTCCTTAATGTGTAAACATGTTCAAGTTTTTCAAGGGCTTTTCTAAATCTATTTTTCTTGCTTTTGCAGTCAAAGCTCTTGAAATATTTGACTACTTTTTCTATTTAAAAGAAACAATTTGTTAAAAAAATAATTACCAGAAATACATACTCCTTTTGGAGAACCTGAACAACACAGAAAGCTATGAAGAATAATAACAACAAAGTTCACCCAGCATCTCAAAACCTAGAGTTAGCTCAATTATTAGTGTGTCATGCAAGAAACTGTTAATATGCATTCGGTAGTGGACACTGGTTTATTTATTTATTTAGGTAGATACTGGTTTAAATCTTAAGAATGTAATGGTGAAGCAGAAAGACAGACACTATGTGTGTGTGTGTGTGTAATTTTTTATTTGAGCTCAAAGTATTCACTTTTTTATTCCTTGTATTCTTATTCCTGTTCCCTACATTCTCCTCAAACTGTCTTCTCTGAGGAACATCAAGTTTCTACTAAGTGTAATACAAAAGTTTATTCCCATCTCTTATCCCACTTAAAGCTGCTGTAGTTTCTTGGAGACCTTTGGATTCTTCCCCTCCTTGAAACTTTTTCCTTTTTACTGTGTTTAACAGTACCCTAATTCATGCCTTTTCAGACTGTTCCAGCCCCATCAAGGTCTAGTTCCTCGCCTATGATTCCTATGTCTAGCCTGGGATGTAGGCAATCTGTAGGAATCTGCCCTTGGCCTGTTCACTTGCATTTGGAAATTATATCTTCTCCTTTAGCTAAAATGATCTCTCAGTTCCCTAAACTACAGAAGCTCCAGCACTGCATACTCTCCTAAGCTTTAGAATCTGATTTTCTTTTCCACAGATGGCCCATAGATGTATAATCTCATTCTGTCTATAATTGAGCTCATTTTGTTCCCGCAGGCCAAGTGATGATTGGCTGTTTTTTATTGTTTACCTTATCTCATACAGCTGCTTTAGCTTTACCATCCTTCCATTCACCAGGTCTGGAGACTTTGAATGGTCTTTGATTCCCTCTTCCCACAAATTCCCTGTATCCAACCATTTGCCAACTCTATGCATTTATAATGTCGGTTAATAGATCCATTACTTTTGTTTCCACTGCCATTGACATCTCTTGTTTTGTTCAAACAGCTCCATTTTATGTCCCTTCTTGCCTTTTCCCTTTCTAATCCATTTGTCACATTTATTTTGTAGTGATGTGATTATATCACTCCCTTGGTTGGAAACCTTGGATGATGTTCCACAACTTTTATTCAAATAGGCCCAACTCAAAAGTCACCTCTCCTATGAAATATATATATACATACATATATAATATCCATATTCATACATATTATGGATTGTTATATGTGCATGTATATTATACATATACACATAATTCATTTCCATCTTCATATATAATAACTCATTCCCACCTTCATGTTCCACAGTTGTCTGTATTTCTTTTCCAAGATGAATTTATTCTGCCTGGTATTATCACTAGTTGCTTATTTATTAGTATCTCCTCTTAGAGTTTTTGCCCCAGGGTTTTGCACATAGTAGACACTCAGTGGGTTTGCTAAATTGCTTTGTCACTAAAGACAGTTCCATCAACTCCAAACTGATTGAGATAGCTTAGTTTTCTGCTATCACTCATTCACATAAAGATCAAAACCAAAGGACAATGAAATGCGGTTTTTAAATCATTTATACCCCATGTAGGTCTGGACCTATCTTTGTTATTACTTTGCCAACATGTTGCTTAGTCGGGTCATATTTTATTATGATGGACGTGGCGGCTATGAGAAGTGTCAGGTTGCAGGCAGTCAGTGCTGAAATAGCACGTCAGATTAGCTTTTGCATTTAGGAACAAGTAACTAGTACAACGTATGGCTACTCAGTCAGTCTTTTTTATGAAACCAAAACACTACCTTGAGTCAAATCTTCACTGAACTCATTTTCTTTTTCTATTCGCTGAGTTGATCACATTGTTGGGCATTGTTGGCATACCCTTGTTTTTTAGCAGTGAGTTTTATTAGTGTTGGTTTTCTAAAACACTAAGAGAAACCCAGGGAAACTTAAGCTAGCTCAATAAAAGAACATGCTTCCAATGCAAGGTACCAGTACTGGTGATTCTGTTGGCCTGTGATGTACTCACTGTGTCTAGCATCTCCCGCGTATGTGCTGCTGAAATACAAAACCGAGCCCGAGCTTCTGCGAGGGGAGTAGCTGGAAATCCAACAACCACCACCCCGATTTTTCTATTTAACAGATGCCTTGCAAAAGCCCTATGGGAAAGGTAAAAGAGAAGGTTAGCTGAGAGATGACAAAATCATGTGGCAAGAAAAGGAATATGGCTAATTGACATTTCTTATAACAATAAATAGAAGATGACTGAAATTACTAAACTTCTGTTACATACAATTGACAAGAAAATGGGGCAGTTCCTTGATGGCACCCATAGCTAAGTGTGTATATTATGGGACCTGGCCCACTCTTTAGAGCATTGTGAGTATTGAGTCTTTGACATTGAGCAGAAAATGCTGATGTACATGAACCTGGATTAATGAGTTGGTGTTGATGTAAAGTCCTTTGTTTGCAGGATTCCTAGAAACAAAAACCCAACAGCTAACACAATGCAATTACATAAAGAAACAACCTATATTAAGTGCACTTGTTTTAAAAGTTTAATACCAATAACAGAGTAGGGAAATTTCAAGAAGCCTACACTTAGTGACTATAATTTGAGAACCAGGATCTGAGAGTCTGCAGGAGCTAATCCCAAGCTGTATTCTCACTCGGGAGCCAAAGATTTTTTTCCCCATTAAACCAGAGATGGAAACATAGCAAGGGTCTCCTCATTTTTTTATTGTGTGAATGAATACACCCATGTATGTTCAAGGATATTAAACCCATTGATTGAGTTGAAGGGGAAATGGGGCAAGAGGGACACGGGGAAAGAAATGTGTATACAGGGCAGCCCCGGTGGCTCAGAGGTTTAGTGCCGCCTTCGGCCTGGGGCCTGATCCTGGAGACCGGGGATCAAGTCCCACGTCGGTCTCCCTGCATGGAGCCTGCTTCTCCCTCTGCCTGTGTCTCTGCCTCTCTCTCTCTCTCTCTCTCTCTCTCTCTCTCTCTCTCTCTCTCTGTGTGTGTCTCATGAATAAATAAAATCTTAAAAAAAAGAAATGTGTACACAGAGAGAGGCTTGTCGGTAGCTTTCTGAAACAGGGTGTAACCTTTCTCAGCTGTGATTTCTTCCCCTTCATTGCTTCTAGACCCTTTTTCTCAGAGCTAATTTCAGTAATGACTCTAGAATATTGAGCTCTCAATGTAGATTTTTTTGTGCTAAGCGCCAATGTAAAAAATGCCCCTAAGTGAATCTTTCCCCACTCTGTGCTCTGTTGCTCTCTGCAGGAAACCTTAATTACTAAATGTCTCTGCCCACAAGCAAGGTAAATGCCTCAGATTTGTTTTTAGCATTAAGAGGTTTCTGGTGTCCTTTTTTAGGCTGGAAGCTGGCAGCACCACGGCACCTTCCAGTCATAACTCAGGAAGAATTCTTGAATCAGACATAGAGAGCTAGCCTGGTCATTTATTCATTCCTCTTGCAATGGAGCTGTCTGCCTTTTTGGTTGCCTCATGCAGAATGCATGTTATCAAATGAAGTGATGGAGATTGCAAGATCTACTGAACACACAGCCTCTCTGGCCCCGTGGCCCAAGCAAGGCAAGATTCGCCTTTGATTTGGACTGGGAAGATTAACAAGGAGATTGAAGCTTTCTGAGAGAGCTTGAAAAGCAGAGGCTGTTCTTTCTCTTTCTTGTTCACCCTATGGAAGGCTGCCCATGGAACTACACAGGATGAGAGCCCATAATTATCTGAGAAACAAGGCAAGTCCTTTTATTGCTAGAATACAAACCACCTGACCCATGATCTCAGGCTAGTTTTCGGGACTCCCCAAAGACCATTTTCACTGTCTGCATGTTTCTCTTTGTACCAGAGGAAGCGAGTTTTGCCAGGGAATGTAGAGCAAAATATATGACTGTTGATTCATTAGGCTAATCTGAGGCCTCCTTGGAGCACTTTGGGGCTTAAAATTTACACTACTAAACCTGGCCTCCTTTAGTTAATGTGTCTGATTGCCCTGAACATTTATTTTATATAATGAGCCTCTGGGTTTGTACTCCCCAAAACAAATTAGAGCCAGTGTGAGCTGAAAGAAACTAGACTATGTGGATAATAATAATAATAAAACATTATCACTGCATTATGTGCAGCATCACTGCATCCTGTATCCTACCATCCTGCAAGTGTATGACAAGGTCCATGGAAGGAAAATGTAAACTCTGCACCAGATAGTAAATGCAATATATCCTTGATTATGTAAGTGAATGTTTTATGGGTGAAATCACATTATACTGAATGTCACGGAAGATTCCAGCATAGAGTTGCAGTGAAACTTTGCTCAAAAGGATATCTGGGTGGAAACTGTATTTTCATCTGTAGTGGGTGGACATGTGGAGAAATCATAGTGCTTTAATAAAATCAAAGGATTGAAAATGAGCAAACGAAAGATGTGCTCATACACTGGCTTATATAATTAATTCCTTGTCTCAAAAGCTTTTCTCCATATAAGCTTTCCGTTGAAGAAATATCTGAGACAAAAACAAGGCCAGCAGGGAAGCTCTTGGCAGCAACTCCTGCCAACTGTAGATGACATTACTTTTTGTAACTAACCTATTCTAAGTTTCCTTAGGCAACTCAAGCAATTAGTGTTTTTTTTTTTTTCCATTTGCAGTGATTGATGTCTTTCAATTCACCATGGAGAGTTAAACTTATACTCTGTGTTGCTTTAATGAGATGTGCATTTTTCCCCCTGGGACTAAAGGTTCAGAGGCTGTGCAATGCACTGAAAAGAGCCCTGGTTTAGGAGGCAAATGGAGCTGGCTTTGAATTCTGGGCCCTACTGCTTACAACTTGAGTGATCCTTAGAAAGTAGTTTAAGTTTTATGGGTCTTGGTGTCCTTGTTCATAAACAAGGGCCAAGAGTCCACCCTTGATAGGTGATCACTGTGTCTAACAGTCTTGGCATATAATCAGCATTCAGCCACATTAACTCCTCCTTAAATAACATCTTCACTGGAAGGTACTAGATAGTGTGACATATCATCCCATGTCCATGGCATATTTGATTCACACAATAGCAGGGTCTCCACCTATTATTTTCCCAAAAGTTCTATTTTTATTAATGCAACCAGATTGCAATAATTATTTTGGAGAGACATGCAACCATGGTGACTCATTCTGCACTCAGTTGAAACTAATACTAATAATCATTATACTTGTAGAAGTACTAGTAGTAGTAATAATAACTACCACTGATTAAGTGCTGATAGTACACCAAGTACTATATTAAGTGCTTTATATATATTAACAATGAACTACTAATAAGAACAGCTCCCACCTAATAGCTCCTATTTAAGAGACAACATAAATGCTGATAGACTTTTTCATGTTTAATTGAAACAATTATGAAATAGGTACTATTACATCCTGTTTTAAAAATGAGAAAACTGGGGCATCAGAAGGTTGTGCAACTTTGTTCAAGATCCTCTAGCTAGCAGGGGGCAGAGTCCAATTTTTCCTCATTCTAAACTCTTCACTACACCAGGGAGCACAGTTTTTATACATAATACCCTCTGATTTTATTTTTTACATTAGCTGTTGTCCATTTAGGACTCCTGGAATATAAAGGAGCGGTACTCCCTTTCTCTTTCTGTTATTGCAAAGTTGAATTCTTAAACTTAAATGCATTTGTTTTCACTCTTCATGGACTCTTCTCATGGCATGGATTCCTGGTAAGATTCTATTTCCAGCCCCCACCATCAAAGTCAGAAGTATCTGGCATGCTCCCTACTGCCACCCTCCAGCATTGAGCACTTTAGGCTCTCAAAAATAAAATAAATTTATTTTTGGTGTCTTCATTTGAGCTATGGTAAAATACTAGATAGAAATGGGCTAAGTGTGAAATCTTTCTTTCAGAACATACCATTTTGCCAGCCATTCTGAATAAATGTAGGCTTTCTTCTGTACTTTCCAAAATCAGATGGTAAAGGGTTTGGGATTGTATGATACTTTGAATCACTGTTGCCATTGCTCCCTGCCTTAAGTACCAAGCAGTATCCCATGTGACATTTCTGTAGCACACCCTCCTCTTGATCACTCACTCCATGCATTGTTAGCCTGATCCAGATCTGTGAGCAAAGGGCCCATTGTTGGTAACGGTGTACATGCTAAAGAACTCATGTGTGTGTTTTAACTGCTTGCTATATTGCTATGGTGAAATGATACAAGAATGTACACTGAAGAATTAATCTTTTGGGAACTAATAACTCAGTCCTATCCACCATGAGTTCTCAAATGATAGCCCCCGAACCTCTTCTTTATACTTAAAATGCTCTACCAATCTATTCAGACTGTTAGAGAGTCAAGCAGAAATTTCCAACAATGGGGTTATGTTGCAGGAGAGTCAGGACCTTCAGAATCTCATAAATATATGTTGACTATTACTTTCCACCATGCACATGGTCAGGCACCCAAATAAACATTTTATATTTAGAAAGGACTTTAATTAACTTCCTTTTAATAATAGAGGTAGTCTGTGGCAGTGTGGAGAATGGCTCATGGATAAAATTGTCTATGCCATATTGAGAAAAAGTCATTTTTTCTCCTTATGCAGTTGTTCTCATGCTCAATTTCAGAATTACAGTCAGTGGGAAACAACTCCACATGGGTTAACAGGCGAGGCATTAAAATTTGGTGTTAAGGGCATGAGCCTAAGTTTGGATTTGATTTGCCTCTTGATGTTCTCTTGATTTTATTACTACTCAACTTGTATGACTTTGGCCAAACTATTTAACTGTCCTCAGCCTCAGTTTCCCCCACAAGTGAAATAAGGCTGCCTCCTTCTGAGGATGGCCATGAAAGGTCAGTTGAGAGAGCATGGAGCCTGGTAATATTGTTTTCAAATGTTGGGAGAGATGGTCTCCAGAAGTTGCCCCTGAAAAAGACTGTGGGGCAGAAGGAGGGCACAGGATTATCCTTAATTTATAGTTGAGGCCTAGGGGGTGAGACCCAGATTCACAGGGCTTGAAAGTAGAGTACACTTGATTCCCTTCTTAGGAGACCTGTGGAAAGGCGTTGCTGATGGGCTGACAGGTGGCTTCCAAGAAGCTGTACAAGTGAATTCTGAACTTGGCACCCCATTCCAAGCAATGCCTATGCTGAGCCTCTTAGAGACAGGAGCACTGTCTTGGTCAGATCACCTTGGGGCTCCAGTGTTATTCTGAAGTCGTTGAATACTTACGCTACTTTGGCAGGCATGTAAAGAAGCAGGGGAATAACGGGAGATTCCTCATTGCCATAGATAATGAATCCCATTTCATTCAGTCTCTGTCTGAAGTATCTCGTGTTTTTTGCCAGCTGCCGTACTCTCTGCAACCCTGAAAGGAGACAGGCGTGAAATCCATCAATTCTCACAAGGAAGAGAGAAGCAAAGGTCCGATGGACTTGGCAAGCATTCCTAAGTTTTTCTCTAGGCCTGCATCATTAGCTGGGAGGGGGTCAAAATAGGGTGGGTAGATGTCTCTTGGTGAGGAGGTGTGGGCACTGAAGCCTAAGAGCTGTCCTGAGTCTGGAAGACAGGATTGGTGGGGGGTGGGTGCTGGTAGGTGCTGCTAGCAAGCAACTAAATGCAGGCTAGCCTGGGTAGGGAGCTAGAGGGTCAGAGGGTGTGTCTAGCAAGAAGGAAGGAGATGAGCTATCATTTACTAGGTAGCTACTGTGTATGGATTCTGTGCTAAGTGCTTTGAAGACATTAACTCAGGGGAAGGGAATGTGACAAGAAGTCACACACACACACACACACAACCCTGTTGTTGGTAGAGGCTTTTTAGCCCAGCTAAGCTGGCTCATTAAGTTGCTTCTCACCCAAATCTCTAATCAAAGGGTACTTCACCTACCAGAACGTGAAGGGGTAGCACATGCCTCAAAAAAGATAAGTCAGGGATGCCTGAGTGGCTCAGTGGTTGAACGTCTGCCTGCAGACGTTCCTGGGGTCCTGGGGTCCTGGAATCGAACCCCACATTGGGCTCCCCACAGGGAGTCTGCTTCTTCCTCTGCCTATGTCTCTGCCTCTCTCTGTGTGTCTCTTGTGAATAAATAAATAAAATCTTTAAAACCAAACAAAACAAAAAGGTCCAGCTGAAACCAGAACTCTTCCGTGAGGCATTTGGTAGTGATAGAGAAATAGACGTAAAGGAATAGAAGGAAGGGAAGAAGGAGGCCTGTTTTCCCCAAGGATAAAAAAATGACAGTGTGGGCTCCAAACAGGGGGTCAAGGAAGGTATGTGTGTCCATTTCTAGGTCACTGGTACTTCAGCTCAAAAGCTTAGCCTCTGTCTTCTATGTGTGTCCTGGGGGTGGGAGGGGGGAGGGGTCACACATATGAGATGACCAAGGGAATTAAAGAGTGGAAAAGTTCTGAAGACATCTGTCTATGCTAATGCTGTCTCCAATGAGGCAAGAGAGCAAACAGCCCAAACCAGAGCGTATTGCTTGATACATTGATCTGCTTGATACAGAAAATTGAACAGAATTGGATGTTTGAGTCCTCTAGAAATCAGTCCAACATTTGCATCTGATACAAAGTACCTGTTGAGCAGGAACAGCTATTGCAGCTGACCTCCATTATGATTGGCCAGGGGTCCCTTCAAACTGATCAGAGCTCTTGCTTGACCAGTTTTTCAATATTCTGAACATCCCTCCTGGATGTCTGCAAATCTACAGATGGAAAATGGGCTAAAATGTCAGTAAATATGTCAATCATAGTCTCCAGTTCCTTCCAGGAGAAAATGGCCTCGGACTGTGTCCTGACCGAGAGTTGAGCAGTGGGCATTTTGTGCTCAACATCCTTCCTTCAGGGGGGCCATCATGTTCAGGTAGAATTGGCCTTCACTTTCCTCTTTGCTCTAAGGGTATTGTGGACCAAAGCCTGGCCAATTGAGATACGCCATCCTCCTGATTATTGGTTCATGACAAAATACAACCTGGGCCTATCAGAATCTTTCAGATCTGCTGAAGAAGAAGTGCATGAATGAAGTCATCCTTAAGCTACATGTTTGTCATCATATGGAAGAAACATGCTTGAGAATGATATTGACTCAAAGCCAAGGTATAAGACAATAAGAATCCTGATGGCATCACTGGAACCCTTAGGCCTAGCCATGCCTAAGTGAGTCTATCCTTTGGACTCTCTGTTGTATGAACCAATACATTTCTTTTTCTTTTTTTTTTTATGATGAAGTCCCAAGAGTTTGTTTATTTATTTTGTATATATTTTTTTATTGGAGTTTGATTTGCCATACATTTCTTTTTCTTAAGCTGTTTTGAGTTGAATTAATACAACCTATAACCAAATATGTTTGAGTAATTCAAGAGGCCACCTATTGGATGAGGTTACCTCTAAAGGACAATAATATCAACAACAATAATACTTGTAGCCCACAAATACGTAATGTCACCACTGTTATAAGCACTTGACATTTAATAATTTATTTAGTCCTCACAACAATTGTATTTAACTAAATGCTATAATCTCGTGTTACACATGAAGAGAAGCCAAGTAACTCACCCAAGTTCACATAGTTGGTAGGTAGCAGAGCCAGAATTTGAACTTGGGTAATCAGGTTCTAGAATCTGTGCTATTATCTCTACATTATGCCCAAGATTAGCAATGGATGATGTCCGTCCAGATAATGGATGATAGCCAACACTTCACTACAAGCTCAAAAAAAAAAATGTATCTCTTCCAGTTGTTAGGATCATTGTTTTACCAAGTTTTTCTAGTAGAGGCAGTTCAGAAGTTGAGCACTGAGCAAGCTTTCAACAGCCTCATGTTGTGAGAAAAGGGGTAGGACATCAAGAACTAGAGTCTGGGGATCCCTGGGTGGCGCAGCGGTTTTGCGCCTGCCTTTGGCCCAGGGCGCGATCCTGGAGACCCGGGATCGAATCCCACATCGGGTTCCCGGTGCATGGAGCCTGCTTTTCCCTCTGCCTGTGTCTCTGCCTCTCTCTCTCTCTGTGTGACTAGCATAAATAAATAAAAAATTAAAAAAAAAAAAGAACTAGAGTCTGAAGCCTACCACAGGGGAGGACTGATGAACTCTCTTCATTTGGGGTGGGGAGCCAGAAGGGCTACTCCTGAGAAGAGTGAACCGGAAGCAGACAGCCCCTCAAGGGCATATTCTTTATCTAATTACCTGACATTTTTCACTAAACTCTACTGCTCCCAAAACACTTCAGATCTTCCTTTGAGGGTTTTCTTTTCTTACTAGGCCCAAATCTACTTGATTTCTATGACCTCTTAAATGTGCTAACAATATATGCAAAGGAATGGAAATTTAGCTGAGTGGAACACCAACCAACAAGGAGGGTGTTGAATGATCCAGTTGTCCCTGTTTTCTGTTCCTACCCTTCACACAACTTCAGTTCTCTAGGAAGACTCCTTTTTGGCTCTGCCAGCAGGCTGTGATGGAGAAAGCATCTGGGTTATTGTACTTTTTCAGGAAAGCTGACCTCTCAATTACACCATGCTGGCACCAGCTAAGAGATGCATGACAGCCTTGATTGAAGGCCAGTCCATTTGGGTGTTGGCCAGAGAACCATGAGATAGTCTATCACCAAAGAGATAATAAATATGAATTAAACCAATAAGATCCTTTTGCTGGTAGAGTGTGAATGGGAAATATTTAGAGGGAACCGACAATTGGTATGAAGATTAGAAATTGAGGGACATAGAAAAGTTTATTCTCAGAATCTGAGACAGAGGAAGACACTGGTCAGTGGCAGTGATGATAAACCACAAAGAAGAGAAGCAGGCAGTACAAGGGTAGTTAATAGCAATTGGAAGAGAATAAGTGGAAACAGGGAAGAGCTTATAGTCTAGTGGGAAGACATATTACATATAAAAATGGATGTAAAATTGCAACTCTAATGAGTGCTTTGAAGAATGTTATGTAGTGTTCTGAGAACTGATATTAGATAGATTGGACCAAATCTGAGGAAGTCAACAGATGATGAGTGCACTGAGATTGAAGGGTAGATAGATGTTAACAGGTAAAAAATTAGAGGGGTGCATTTCAGGTACAGGAAACAGGTGCAATGATCCAGTGGTCTGTAGAAGAAAAGAGTGATTAAGAACCAGGTAAGATGAAAAAAAAAAAAAGAACCAGGTAAAATGTGGTTAAGTGTGGAGCAAGATGAAGACTGGACCGATGGGTAAATTATAAAAAAAAAAAAAAAAAAAAAAAAAGGAGGATAGGGATTGAAGAATCCAAAATTTGGTAGTTGGGAAGAAAATGAACTTAAAAGGGAGACAGAGAAATCAGGGAGGGAGAAGACAAGTCAGCCAATGAAATAGTGGTTTACTGAATTTATCAATATGGCAGGAAGTCATTGATAACCTTTACTTTAGGGTCCCTGGTTGGGACTTTGGTTTTACAGAAACATAGCTGGAAGTATGGTTTACTTTAATTCATATATGCTTTTATTTTCCCATCCACCTCCTTCAAAAAAGAAAAGATAAGCCCTCAACCCTAAAATTCGAGATCTGCAACAAGAATACAAGAGAGAAGGAAAGGCAGAGAACTATTTGTATAAATTTTGCTGCATAGACAAATCCTCCTTGGTGCTTAAAAATGAATTGTTTTGTAACATGCTGAAGTGTTGGAAACTTGTATGTGTACAGAAAGCAACCTATTTGTGGGACAGAACTAGAAATGAGGAGGAGAATATTTGTCTTCACTTTATTTTTTTCCTTTTTAAAATTTAATTTAATTTTTATATATGTATTTGTTTATTGGAGTTCTATTTGCCAACATATTGTATAACAAACACCCAGTGCTCATCCACTCAAGTGCCCCCCTCAGTGCCCGTCACCCAGTCACCCCATACCCCCTCCCACCTTCCCTTCCACTACCCCTTGTTCATTTCCCAGAGTTAGGTGTCTCTCATGTTTTGTCACCCTCTCTGATTTTTCCCACTCATTTTCTCTCCTTTCCCCTATAATCCCTTTCACTATTTTTTATATTCCCCGTATGAGTGAAGCCATATACTGATTGTCCTTCTCCGATTGACTTACTTCACTCAGCATAATACCCTCCAGTTCCATCCATATCAAAGCAAATGGTGGGTATTCGTCATTTCTAATGGCTGAGGAATATTCCATTGTATACATAGACCACAGCTTCTTTATCCATTCATCTTTCGATGGACACCGAGGCTCCTTCCACAGTTTGGCTATTGTGGACATGGCTGCTAGAAACATCGGGGTGCAGTTGTCCCGGCGTTTCACTGCATATGTATGTTTGGGGTAAGTCCCCAGCAGTGCAATTGCTGGGTCATAGGGCAGTTCTATTTTTAACTCTTTGAGGACTCTCCAGAC